AGGGGGGGGGAGAGACAGAGACAGAGACAGAGACAGAGAGACGGACAGAGACAGAGGCAGAGAGATGTATTTTCGAGAAAGCAATAAAGTAAAACGTTGATTCTTCGGTACTTCAACTTCAATGTGTGCATGAGTTGTTCTCATGAGATCCCATACTTTGTTCACATACTTGTTAGACAAAATAGAATTCTCTCTGATTAGGACCAGGGCCTGCCCTTTAATCAGGACAGGCGGAACATACTAGTCGAGATCGTTATGTGAAGGTCTTGCCCTCCTGAAGTGTGTATAATCTACCACTCTTCTGTGCAGGAAGGAAATACCTTTGGGGGTAATTATCGTTGTTCTCTGACGTCATCTCGGTTTGTTACTCGAGATAACATGAGCAGGGTAAATTACTGAGAAGGCTGGTCGAAATTCGAGTCTTGTATTCGGTTAATTATCTCTGCATGGGTATCTGAGTCATACATTAATAGTGTTTACCCAGCGCCCACTGCAAACGATTCGTCAAATCCCGGTTTGAAATGATTTGATACTTTTGGGGGCTGCCAGATTTTCTTTCAGAGAGCATCAATAGAAGGGGTCATTTCAATAACGTACCTAAGTCCATTTTTGCGAAAATCGAGATATTTTGCATAAGATGAAAAAAGAAAGTGGACTGCACCATGTCAGTTTTCTATGGAGACTGTATCTTTGATTTTCAGAGCTGCGTCCTCTGTTTTAGCTCGCCTTTCCCAGTGCAATACTATATTAACGAGAAACAGTTTTTGGCCTTTTTCTGAAAACTACCCTAATGTGACTTAGGTACGTTATTGAAATAACCCCTTCATAATTGATTAAACTTCCAATTTTAAAAACATTTTTTATTTTGGATAAAGCTGTGACCATGGAAATAGCCAATCAGAGTTATACTGTGGCTTTGAGTATCATTTGACAATGCAAGGTCAGGTCTTTCACTTACTCAAACAAATTAACAAAATTTTGACTGCACGATGGAATATTGGTTGTTTAAGTTCTCTAATCGGCTTCTGCTCTATGATTTCACTTTTACGGAGATCGCCATTTGATTCTTTTCAGTAGATGAGTGCATCGGAAATCCGATTATTAAGAAACCCAAGTTTTTACCCAGCTCAGGCAGCTGGGGCTGTTGCAACAAGCTATGGGGTCACTAATGTAGGCCACACTGCAGGTGACCGTCGTCTGTGGTACGACGGCGGTTAGGCTCCTTGTCGTTGCTCGTAGAAAGCCTGAACTCAATTCTCCTGAGGGCATTGATTTTTCTTTTCCTTTATTTGT